TGCTTCCAACTTCTCCTCTTGGCTGTTTAATAGAGCATCCGACCTGGCTGATAAGGCGTTAGCTCCCCGACGCATTAGCATTTTCATAATATCAAAATATTATAGCGCCATGATTTGCTAAAGCCCATCCATTATTGATAAGAACAAAAGGTTTTATAAATTACAAAAGGGGAGCATGACCTATAATTACGACAAGCAAATTAGGGTGTGCAGTAAAGTCAGTTACATTTTGAAGGAAAATAATGATGCTGGAGACCTTTCTTCCTTTCTCAGGATAAAAAAAATCCCCTTCACTGCCTCACACAGGGTTGAGACGCCAGCTCACAAGTTCACGAGGGACCGTGTTTGCACAAGAAAGGGAGCAGGAGTCTGCGGCCTGTGTGCTGTACTGCACACAATAGAAAGGGCTTTTAGTTAGTTTTCATTATTAAAAATAGTCAAATAAAAGACATTTTTAAAAAAGAACAAGTAATCTGTCTAACAAAGGGTTTTATGCCAAACCGAAGACCTTAACATGAATTTTATTTTTCAGCACCTAATTTGGACTGACGTTAGATGAATATTTTTGGCAATAGTCTAATCCCTAATTTTAGTTTTAACTTTACTTGTTATTAAATCGTATTAATTTAACCATAAAAAATAAACTAGAAGCACTCGGAGAGTGCAAACCTCTGCCAAGACCAATTTTTCCCATCCTGTAAGAGTTAATGTGCAAAAGCAGAGATGGAAACACATTTGCCGATTAAGTTCAGACGTAGCGAACATTTAAGCAGGCAGTATGCACGGGATTTCTTCCAGGTGGAGTCCAATGTGGAAAAAAAAAGTCAGACTCATCACCCAATGCTGTTCATCGTCAAACTGGTCTCGGATTAAGCTCCTAAGTCAGGGCCATTCAACTAAGCTGCTCCGGTGGCCACAGTTACAGCAGGTCAACATCTCAGGGGCTGGACATCCAGCAATTAAATTTATTATGTAAATAAACCAAGTACTACAAAGATCTGTTACCTTAATAGTTTATTTTGCTGCATTTAATCATGATTACAACATACAGAACCCTATAAAAGTAGTGATAAATAAACAATATCAAAACCAAAAAGAACACATTATACCCCCTATTTGACACAAATATTATTTTGACATMTCTGACTTGCCAAATTTTTTAAACCAATTTTATTTCACTTTCACGGTTTTATATTCAACTGCTTGTCATTTTAACTGTCTTTAGTTTGCATAGAAATGGTTTTGACCAGCTTGCAGCCAAGATTCGGACAGTTCTGTAAATACCAAACATGTGTATGTCAAACWAAAAGAACTTAAAGTAATTAAAGTAGAAAACTGGGGGTTCGAGTTTAAGAGATGAATGAACCATTGGTGGGCGGCCCACGGGCCGCCAGTTGAATAGCCCTGTCCTAAGTTTTCACCAGTCACATTCCACTGTGTAAAATGTCTATTTTATTCCCTTTTATGAGTTTGTAATGGTTTGACTCTCTTTATAAAGTGCTTCCTGGTACAGTCRGCTCATGAAGCTTTTTTTTTAAAGCGAGTGATTGAAGCAAAATACATCRTGTGACCGCTTTCAGCACAAACACTCCCACGAGCTTCAGAGCAATCACACAATAAAGTTCTTATATGGAGGGGGTACCAGGCTGAGCAGCTGTTCCCGCGGACAGTCCAGCGGCTGCAGCAGGACCCTCCTCCCGCTGTCGGTGTCCTGTTATGCCCCCCCCCMAAAAAACATTAAAACATTACCTCCTCCCCACACTCTAACACACGTCTGGGCTAAAAACTAACCCGCTACTAGCTTCCAAAATACCAAAATCAATCCGTCCTCCCGTCTCCAAACTTTGAGGCCCAGACAGAAACTCTTTGTTTACAAGCGTAGTACTTGGAAACTGTTTTGACTGGTTGTTTCGGAAATGTGGTGTGTTTGAGGAAATGGGAAAAATAGGTTTCATGGTGCAGTCATGCATTTCCTGGTCACAAAATGTTCTCTAAATGTGCACCAAATGCGTAAAAATGCGCACATTGTGGCAAAAATTATTCATCATTAAATCTGGTTTTATTTGGAAGTAAATAAAAAAAACTTTATTTAAACATTACTTTTATAAAGTTTGAAGTCCGTGGTCACTGTTTTTTTACAGAAGCCCTGTGAAAGCATCACAGCTTTGCCGATCTCGGGTTAAAAGAAATAAAAAAATTCCTGTATCCGCATCGTGATCCGGAACATCACCAAAATTTAAGGGTGTGTTCCTTCGGACAGTACCCACAAGTGGTAAAAATGCCATGACAATCTGTCCACAAGTTTTTGAGTAATTTTGTCCATCAACAGACAGAACGACAGAAAGACATACTGTACGTGACCAAAAACATTACCTCGCCCTTGGCAGAGGTAACAAATTATTTATAAAAACTATTTTGCAGCACGATGGCTCAGTGGTTTGCATTGTTGCCTCGCAGCAAGAAGGTCCTGGGTTYGATCCCCGGTTCGGACCTGGGGTCTTTCTGTACAGAGTTTGCATGTTCTCCGCATGCTTGAATGGGTTTTCTCCAGGTACTCCGGTTTACCCAACACCCCAAAATTATGTACAATAGATTGCCTTCAGGGCCAGGCCTCCCTTGCAAAAAAGACATGTCATCTCAATGGTGTTTGCCTTGTTAAACAACAGTGAATAAATAAATAAAATATTTTAAAAAATGTGCAATAAAGTATGTGTTATTACCTGTGTAGAAGTCAACTAATACATTGGCTGAAAATAATAGGAATTAGTAGAAACTGTGGCTGATGAGTGTACAACCTCCTCCTGTCACACATGGACACATTACAGTTTGACAGGACACCCACACAAATAGAAGAACCTCTGGTGCATTCAGAACTACAGGGATACATAGATTGACTAATTTTCCCTCAAAAAGCCCTAATTTTACAAATTCCTAATATAAACCGATCATGGTTTAGGAAGACAGTGACCACAGTGCCCCTCAGCATTTCAACCTTTCAGCACATCTTTAAACAGATTAGCATATTTTGTAACATGAACGTCCCTGACAACTATTCCACCTGGCTGGTCTATGTAAGAACAATCAAGCACGTGGCTAATTAGCACATAAGTAGTGATTTATTTAGCTACTGATGCTTTTWTTTCCAGCCTTAGCTCAAACTCACAGATATGTTGTTTTGAAATTTTACCCCGAATGCCATGACTACAAAAAGCTCAAATAAACATGAAGTCTGGTTAAATATTTAAACATTTAATAAGATTTTGAAACCAGCTTTTTGATTTTTCCTCCTGTTCACTGTTACATAATCCTCTTTGGGTGTTTGTGTTTTTACAGTCACAGGCACCAATACCTTCGGTGTGATGTTTTTAGTCATCTGCACCACAACAAGTTTACTCATCTCTTTAAGTTCATGATAGATCAGTTCACCTGYTGGTCCTGCTTTCTAAAAATGGAGAAAAATGCATTTGCATTGGCATATTAATGCATTTCTTATTTAAAGAAACACAAAGTTTATTTTAAAAGCAATCCATGCATTACTTCTATACAAAAKCAAGTTCTGTGCATAAAGTAAAACTTAGCAAAGTGTTTTAACACATTTAGTGGAGTTTTAGTCAACAGATGGAAACAAAACTCAGCTTTACTTTATTTCCACAACATTTTCTAGTCATTTTTATTGGGTTTAATACTATTATATGAAAGTGCAAATAATGATGCACATAATTTAATTAGTTTATAAAGTTACTCAGATTCAGATGGATAGATGAACATAAGGCAAGGAACAAAATATATWTTTTTAAAAACTGTAGTCAGCTAAACACCACAGAGCCATGATATTGTTTAAATTATTATTTTTTCAATCGTTGCAAACAAAAATTGATTACTTAAACAAGAAAATAAGTATTTTTCTGTCATTCTCCTTTTTGTAATGTAAAGTTGGGACTCTGATTGGTTAATGCTAGCTATTAATTAGCTAACTTAGCTGTTATTAGCTAACTTAGCTTAACTGTTTATTAACCAATGTCCAACATACACTAGATCTAGCTTGTTGTAGTAACTAATCGGCATACCATTACTGTTGGTCAAATAGGACATGGCCTCTCTAAGAAGACTAAATTTGAAATTCCAGTAAAGCTATTGAACTAAATCTATGGAGGCTCATAATACATAATATTGTAAATGCAAAATTTTATGATAGTTTTTCAGGTGTTGAGATTTATTTTTGAACCACCCCAGAAAATGTATTTTTCCCTTACTTTCAAATGTTGTATTAATCTGTATTTAACATATTTCAATACAAAAGCGACATCAATGTATTTAAACTGTAAATTCATTGTAAGCGAACTTCAYGAAACTTTTTTGCATTATGCAAAGGTTTAAATAGCTAATTTGATTCATTTGTTACATTAAAATGTACATAAAACTTTCATTTGAACGAAGATGGGAAAACATTTTCTTTTTATTAGATCTGTTTAATCACTAAACAAAAAAATTAGGGGTAAACAGATTCAGATAAAGAACAAATCTTTAAATACTCCCTGTAGAACTGTGTTGTGAGGTGGTCTGCCACATTTATCTTTATGTAACAGTGTATAGTGAGATGCTGTGAGAAGTTACAAAGTAATGTAACCTGTAGTAATTATTCTGTTATCTCCCTCTCTGTGGTACAGTGGACCCAGACTTTGATTGTGTCTTACTGGGTCTGTCTAATCATGACCACACTGTGTCCCAGAGTGCTCCAAGCTCATTATCATTCATTAACCTCTAGCTGTGATGTGGCTTTGTCCTCCCCTTTCAGTCCCACAGCATTACAAGTCACAGATGTATTTTGGTAAAGAAACAGTGACCATTTAGAGAGAACATATTCTGAATCCAGGTCTTTGTTAAAGGTGACTTATTCACCGCTCTCTCTTCATGTCCCCTTCTCAATTTCTCTCCATCTAATCTCCCTCTGTCTATAACAATAAGAATTAATTAGCCTGCTTATTTTTTTCTGGTTGCAGAGGCTCCCCATCTGGATGGACGACAGTCTGCTGTGTGCCTGATTAATGGTGTGGAGAGACAGTTGTCAGTTTGAAAGCGCTGCTGTGTGACCCAGGACAGAACATCCAGAAGGTGGACTAATGTTAGTCCAAGGTGCGTGTACACACACACACACACACACACACACACACACACACACACACACACACACACACACACATATGTACCTTTATCCTTATGGGGACTTTGCATTGACTTCCA